AGGCCCGCGCGGTGGAGGAGCCAGGCCGAGGGGGGAGGGGGGACTCGGCTCCTTACCTGGCCTGCGGCGGCCGGCGAAACATGCTGGCGCGGGGCGGGGATGCTACCCCCCTACAGGGCAGGGTGAGGAGCCGGCCGAGGTCCCCCCCCGCCAATAAACTTTACGTGGCCACTCGCACGGCCCTGAGCCGCTCTCCCCCGCCGCTGCCGGGGTCCGGAGCCCTGCGCCTCTCCCACTTGGCTGCGCTCCAGCAGCCCCTTCCCTGCGGGGCGGCGGGATGTGCCACATGTGCCCGGGGCCTGCTAATTCCCCCGGCACCTGCAAAACGGCTTTTTTTTTTTTTACCTTTGTTGTTGTTGGTTTTTTTTGCTCTCGTTCCCCCCCCCCCCATGTCCCGATATTTCATGTCAGTGATCTGGTCACCCTACACGGAAGGGAGGTGCACGGGGGCAGCAAAGGGGGGCCAGCCCACACTCAGGGGAGGCGCAGGGGGAGCAGCAGGGGGGACCAGGGGGGAGACCCGGCCCCGAACATTCGTGGAGCTGGGCCCCCGCACCCTCAATATTGCTGGAGCCAGGAGGAGGAGTCAGAGAGGGAGAGAATGCTTACTTTCATCTCTGCCAATACCACCTTCTGAATAACAACACATCACTTCCTGCAGCATGTAGCTGGGCCCTGGAGATCTCCCATCTGAGGTACCGACCGAGGCTCATCCAGCTTAGCTTTCAAGAAACAACCCCACCGCATTCCAAAGTGGTTCTGGTGCAGGCTAGCTGCATACAGCAGGTGACTCACCAGAGATCCCTTCATCTCCTTCAGCACCAGGGTGTATTTTTCTCTGGTGGTTTAAGAACACTGTTGTCATTGGCAGTGTTCCAGCGGGACTCTGGTCCATCCTAACAACAGCACAAGGGAGCAGACAGGATCTGGAGAGAACGTAAGAGCCCATGACAAGACACTCACCTCCCCAAACTGGCCTTCTCCAAGCTTCTCCTTGAAGGTTAGCAGTTTCCTAGGGAACTCTTCCACAGCCACATCCTTGCCCGAGAGCAGGTCCATAGTGATGGCAGGCACAGAGTAGGTGTTGCTGCCTGTCACACCTTGCAGATTCACAATGTCAGCCTCTGCATAATGGGGGACTCCCTCGGGGCCACTTGACTGGGCGGGTTTGATGACTCCACTGCAGCCTGGGAAGAAAAGAGCAGGAGAACTCCTCAGCTGCTCAGCACTATTCCCCTGGAGCTCACTGAAGTCACATAGAAAATGCCCTGGGCCATCTGCTTTCCCAGATGCCAGGGGAGAAGAGACCAGGCTTTGGGAGAGCTTAAAGGGGTCTGAGACCTATACAGTCTTCTCAGCTCCCTGAAACTTCACTCCAAGTTTCCAGGCCCAGTTAGGATTGGTGCCGTAGGTGACACAAGGGGAGAGAGGGGAAGCCAGTAGCATCCTCATCCAGAATGTATGCTCCCTGCTCAGAATGCATCATCAAACTCTTCAAAGCCACAGCTGGAGCAGTTCTAATTGTTCATTCCCATGCGACTGACTTTGCATTTGTCAATATTAAATTTCAATCTGACATCATGCTGCCCATTCCCCCAGCCTGGTTAAATCCCTGGGAAGTTTCTCCTCTAGTCCTGACTAATCTGAAAAGAGGCAGAGTGGACTAGCAGACAGGACTGTGATATAGAAAACATGTTCTATGCTTGGCTCTGCTGCTGGGTGATCTTGGGAGAGTCACTGCCCTCCTCTGTGCCTCAGTTTCCCCAAGTGTAAAATGAAGATAATGAATGATATTGAACTGCTTGGTAAACTGCTTTGAGGTCTCCAGATGGAAAGCTATGAGCTATGTATTACTATTAAATAATTTTATTATCTGCACATTTTGCCACTTCACTTTTCCAGATCTTTGATAAATAGGTAAATAACCAACACAGCACAAATATCAAATTCCATATTAAGTTGAAATACTTGCAGTTTGAATTGTCTTAGTCACAGACTTAAGGGACCAAAAACTATGTGCTGAGACTTATTTGACTAACACCACACTGCACATGGCAAGGGCAAATTGAAATTTTGTAATCAAATAAAATACACAGCCCATCTTAACATGGCTCAGGGAGATGAGGCCTAGGACTGGGATAGGGGCCTGGGACCTCTAGGCTGATGGTTCAAATTTACTCCAGGTTAGTATTGGTCTAAAGTCACTCCCACTGGGATGGCTGTCATGTGATGCGATTCCCGTATGATGTGAAATGGTCTCACTCCATTTCCCAGTGGATGCATGACTAGTCCTGGCTGAAATGTTTCTGTCTAAACTGTTGATGTAATCCAACCAAAAAGCCAAGCCTATAGAGGAGGCACCTGAACTATAAATCCCATGAGGCACTACAGCAGCATTTTCAAGTCAAAATGTTTTGGCTGAAATTTTTGAGTATCAGAGGGGTAGCCATGTTAGTCTGAATCTGTAAAAAGCAACAGAGGGTCCTGTGGCACCTTTAAGACTAACTAACCTTCTGTTAGTCTTAAAGGTGCCACAGGACCCTCTCTGTTGCTTTTTTCAATTTTTGAGTTTGCACAGAAAAAAAAATCAAAATTTTCCGCAAGGGAACTTTTTTGTTTGTGCCCAGCTATACACATGACCCTAAAAATGACTCCACCACAAGTGTCAGTGTGAGCACATGCTCCTTGCTGGCAGATCAAGGATGTAGTGAGACTGAATGCCACTACTACCCCCAACTGGATGCCTCCGGAGCTGGCATCATGGGCAGGCATAGCAGGGCATTGCAGGAGCACTCTGCTGCTCATTGTTTGCTCAAACAAAGCTGTGTTAGCTGCAGAACTTGCTTGTTAATCCTCACCTGCCTCTTCATCTCCTGGGGCAAACTCTGGCAGTTTGCGGATCAACCGCGAGGGCTCCTGGTAGTCTGGGCCCAGGGGGAAGATGCGGTCATAGGTGGAGTTGGACTCCTGCTCGCTGAATGAGGAGGAGTGGTTGTGGTTGAACATGCTGGATTCGCTAGGCAGGGAGAGGCTGACGGTCATTTCGTCATCCAGCATCCGACGAGAAGCCTAAGAGGTGGGGATGCAGAAGGAGAAAGTACAGGGACCCAGCAAAGGACATTCCCCACTCTCGACAAACAGACAGGCCCAGTGGACCAAAGCAGCAAGACAAATCATGTGGGCCAAAAGGTCCTGTTTGGCAGACTGTGCCTGAAACACAACCGTCCTGTGAACCAGGAAGGGCTGCCGAATCCAGGGGCAGTAGGGAAACAGTCCACTGAATCCGGGGGAGGAGAAGTGGGGGGAGGCGGCAAGGGTGAGGGAGCTGCTGGGGGACCCCACGAGTAGGGAGGCTCCCAGAGCCCAGGCTCCAGCCCGAGCCTGAATGGCTACACAACAATTTTACAGCCATGCAGCCCGTGCCCTGGAAGCCTGAGTCAGCTGACCCGGGCCAGCTGTGGCCATGTCACGAGTCTTTTATTCCAGTGTAGACGCACCCTCAGTGGCTAGATGAAATCAGTCTGCACAAGCAGGTCCATGCGCTCGCCTGTGAGCTTCAGGGGGGGATGCAAGTGGTGCACATCCCCAGCTGGGCCTCACCCTGAACAAACTCCATTACTGTCAGGGCTGTGCTGACGTCACCAGAGGGGCTGACATGCAGCTGCAGGAATGAACCTAGTGCTGTCAGAACCATTACAAAGAAGCCTCCAGGATCTGCTCACCTTCTCCAGCATCTTCTGCCAGAACTGCCTCCACAGGATGATGACAATGATGGCCACCAGGATGAAGATGATTGCAACCAGGCAGCCAATCAGGATGCGTGTGTTGCTGTCATCCACTTTGAGGGTTGGATCTGTCAGCAGGTGGGAGAGAGCAGGAGTGGTCACATTGGGAGGCTGGATTTAACTTGGGTTCTCATTGGAAACATAGATCTCAGTCACTGGCAAGTCTACTCGGCTGGTACTTCCAGGCTCACCACCCCTACAGCGGGGCTTAGATGAGCCAGAAGCAGTGCATAACTGCCCCACCCCAAAGCACTCTGCACTTCACTCCATCCCTGGTTCCCTGTTTGCCAACCTATCCTTGCCAGGAGCAGACACCAGCAGCACAACTCTGCTGGCCAGCACCCTGGGGGTTACGGTCAATGCTCTGTCCATTTTCCACCCTTCTGTGCAAGAAGAGGCACAGCTGGGCAGAGCCTGCTCTCTGCCCTGTACATTGACTGGGGATGTGAGTGCAGGGGTGCATAGGGTCAGAGACAGTCCTGCCCTCCGGGAGGCACTTCTGTGCTGGCCCCTGCTGCACTAGTGCTGCTCATCCCTTCTGCAGCCATGGAGCCTGGGACACCCAGGATTGTGAGACTGTAACTAATAATTCGAGACTCCCCATCACCACACTCATGTGACTCTCTCACAAAGTCAAAGTCCAGGATACACACTGCTCCTCATTTTGCAGCCACAACCCTGGACTCTGCAACATACTGACATAACAGACTAGAAAGTCTGTGGAAACTTCATTTTAACAAAAAGGGAGGCATTTAATGAACTGACTATGGAAATAACTGCACTGACTGTGCCATTATCCTCTGTGCTATTCTTATTGATATTACATTCATTGCTTCAGACTGTTCCCACATGTTTATTGTTCAACGTGCCACTGAATTCTATATTAACAACACATAACTGCAGCGCTGGAGCTGGAAGCAGAATGAGTTGAAACCCAGAACTTCTATTCTGCAGGAAAATTTGACATCTACAAAAAAAAAAAAAATTATTATAAACAGAAGTTGAAATGAGGTTATATATAAAGAATAGAAAAGTTGAAAATGTTTTGACTATTATGATGCCATGTCATAATAGGTCATTTGCAATATTGTTGTGGCTGTGTTAATCCCAGAAATGAGAGAGACAAAGGGATAAGATAAGAGGAGGTTACCTACATGTAACTGGAGGTTCTTCGAGATGTGTGGTCCCTATCTGTATTCCAAATGTGGGTGCGCATGCACGCCATGCACCAGAGCCAGAAGCTTTTCTTATCAGTGTCCATTGACCCGCACATTCATCATGTGTCCCTTTGTGCTCGCAGCCGAGGGTCTAAGAGGCCATGCAGGTCGAGGCCCCTCCAGTGACCCTATTACTTCTGAGTAGTCCAGTCCACAGCAGAGGAGATGGAGGGCGGGTATTGGAATACAAATGGTGACCACACATCCCAAAGAACCTCCAATTACAGGTAAGTAACCTCCTCTTCTTTGAGCAATAGTCCTTATGTGTATTCCAACCGTGGGGGAGTACTGATCAGTGTGGAAGTGTGTGGGAGGAAGAGAAGAAATGCAACCTGTAGTACAGTGCGGCCCACTGCAGTGTCCTCAGCCGCCCTTTGAGTGATGGCACAGTGGGATGTGAATGTGTGTACAGAGCGCCATGTTGCTACGACAGACGTCTTGCCATGAGACATTCTCTAGGCAGGTCGACGTGGCTGCTTGCGCTCACATAGAGTGCATTGTAACTCTATCAAGCGGCTGTACGTTGGATAGCGTGCAGCATTCGCGGATACACCTGGAGACCCATTTGGAGATTCCTTGGAGACAAGGGCTTGGCCCTTGGACTGGTCAGCAATGGCCACAAACAGTTTCATCGATGCGTGAAAGGCGAAAGTCCTGTGGAGGTAGAATGCTACTGCATGGTGCATGTCGAGGAAGTGCAGGATCCTGTCCACATGGGAGTGAGTGGTTTGGGACAGAAGACAGGGAGGTGGACGGCCTGACTGAGGTGGAACTCCACCACCACCTTTGGAAGGAACTTAGGGTGGAGCCGTAAGGACACTTTATCCTTCTGGAATACAGTGTAAGGGGGACAGTTAGCCATCGTGGCCACCAGTTCGCTGACTCATCTAGCTGAGGAAATGGCCACTAGGAACATCACCTTCATGGAGAGATGGGAAAGGGACGAAATACCGCCTCTCTGCTCTCTTCGGTGTGGGGGCACAGGAGACAGGAGTGTACCATGCTGTCCTTGCTGCTTGCAGAATAGCCTCATTGATGGGGAGAGCTGCCTGAGAGCAGGGACGGCTTTAGTAAGTGCGGGGCCCGATTCGTGGAGCTTGTACTCACCAGGCAGTGCTCCGAGTCTTCGGCGGCACTTCAGATTGTCGTGCTCTGGCCGGGGGAGAGGTGCCGCGGGGCTTGCAGCGCTCCAGCCAGGGAAGCGGGGGTGCTGGGCTCCAGCTGGGGAAGCGGGGCCGCAGGGTTTCTGGGCTCTGGCCGGGGGAGCGGGGCCGCAGGGTTGCTGGGCTCCAGACGAGGGAGCGGGGCCGTGGGGCTTGCCGCGCTCTGGATGGGAGAGCGGGGCCACGGGGCTTGCCGCGCCCCGGCTGGGGTAGTGGGGCCGCGGGGATTGCCGTGCTCCGCTGAGGAAGCGGGTCGCGGGGTTGCTGGGCTCTGGTCAGGGTAGCGGGACCGCGGGGCTTGCCGCGCTCCGGCAGGAAGAGCGGGGCCATGGGCTTGCAGCACTCCGCCCGGCCCTCTTAGGTGCGGGGCTCTCTTAGGCGCAGGGCCCGATTCGGGGGAATCGGCTTAAAGTTGGCCCTGCCTGAGAGGGCCCCTGGGGTTGGAGAATGTGCAGGAGCTCATGTTGCATGTCCTGGATCTCCTCCATCCTCTGGGCAAGTCCTGGAATTGGTGGTCATCCACCCGGGAGAGCAAGGAAGAAATAAGCGCCTTATTCAATGAGGAAGCAGTGGGGACCAGCAATATCGGTTCCACATCTTCCTCCTCCTCATAAACAAATGGAGCCGTAGGGCGAATGGGAATGGTTTATAAAAGGCCATTAACAGTGCCTGGCATCCTCAGTAAAGATTCCAGGGCGCCCAGTATGGCCAAAACAAAGGGTCCCTGGGCATAGGTGGGTGTCATGTCTAACAGTACCAGGCCTCCGCAGTGGGATCATACGCCGGGGGGTATGGCAGTCTGGGTCGCGATTCTGGGCTCCGATGGGGTATAGGCGAGAAAGAGGTTTCTGACTCTGAAAGGCCCTCGGACTCCAAAGATGGTTTGGGCAACAGGGGGGACCATGGGTACTGGAGGCCTGTGACGCAGCAATGGGACGTGTGTGACGTTATTAATATGAACTGAGACCGTATAGATCATTGTTGCAATCAAGGTCCTATAGTGACACCAAATCCTGTACAAAGGAGGTCAAGTAAGGCAGGGCTGCCTAGAGGATTCAGGGGGCCTGGGGCAAAGCGGGGGAGCTGCGGCCAGGGCCGGCTTTAGGCACCGCGGGGCCCAATTCGAAGGAGCTGCCGCCAAAGTCCCGCCGCTGTCTCCAGGGGCAGCTCAATCGCTGCCGCGGAGGAAGGACCCTCTGCCGAAATGCTGCCGAAGACAGCGGCAACGATTGAGCTGCCGACAACGACAGTGCCGGGACTTCGGCGGCAGCTCAATCAGCTACCGGTGCCTTTGGCGGCACTTCGGCGGAGGAACGTTCCTCCGTGGCAGCGATTGAGCTGCCGCCGAAGACAGTGGCGGGACTTCGGCGGCAGCTCCTTCGGGACGTTGCAGGGCCCGATTCCAGCCCTGTCTGCGGTGCTTGTACTCACCCGGCGGCGGTCCGGGTCTTCGGCGGCATTTTGGTGGCGGGAGGCCCTTCAGTTGCTCTGCGTCTTCAGCAGCACTGAACGACCCACCGCCGAAATGCCACCGAAGACCCGGAGCGACTGAAGGGCCCCCCGCCGCCGAAATAAATGCCGCCAAAGCCCTGGCCCACCGCCGGGCCAGGGCTCGCAGGGCCCCTGCGGGGCCCGGGTCCTGGGGCAAATTGCCCCACTTGCCCCCCCCCAGGTGGCCCTGAAGTAAGGTGTCTATGACAGCGGTCTCAAACTCAAATGACCACGAGGGCCACATGAGGACTAGTACATTGGCCCGATGGCTGCATTACTGACACCTCCCCCGCCGCCCTCAGCCCTGCCCCCACTCCAGTCCTTCCATGAGGCTCTGCCCCTGCCCCACCTCCTCCCACCCCTTCCCTGCCCCCATTCCAACCCCATCCCCAAAATCCTCACCCCAACTCCACCCCCTCCCTGCCGCCAGGGGGTGCAGGAGGAGTGTGGGGTGTGGCAGGGGCTCAGGGCAGGGAGTTGGGGTGTGTGGTGCAGGAGGGATGAGGGGTGCGGCAGGGGGTCAGGGTGCAGGAGGAGTGCCGCAGGGGGCTCAGGGCAGTGGGTTGGGGTGTGGGGTGCAGGACGGGTGCGGGGCGCGGCGGGGGTTATGGGCAGGGGGTCGGGTGCAGGGTGCGGCAGGCAGCTCAGGGAAGGGGGTTGGGGTGCAGCAGGAGTGTGGGGTGCAGCAGGGGGGTCAGGGTACAGGGGTGCGGCAAGGGGCTCAGGGCAGGGGGTTCGACTGCAGGAAGGGTTCGGGGGGCGGGCTCTAGCCCAGTGCGCACCGGGGGCAGGGCAGTCTCCCTGCCTGCCTGCCCTGCCCTGCCCCCACGCTGCTCCGGGAAGCCGACGGAACCTGGGGAAGGAGGGGCGCAGGGGTGTGTGTTGCTGTTGTTTCAGGCACTGCCCCCAGCATCTCCCATTGGCTGTGG